AGTCAAAAATCGTACAAAATCGCGTGACGTCAGTTATGGACGGCCCCTAAGCATCATGCTGTTAGGTTGAAGAGGCTCAGAGACTCACACCTGTCAACCCATACGGTTTACCCGTATTCTTGTACAGTATAGGGAGTGTTTAGGTCCATACGACGTACAGCCGTTTCAATAGGGCAAACAAATAGTCAATTTGGTTGAGTTTCTCCCTTGTGATGGGACTTTGTAGGATGAACGTTGATATTGTTTCAGGGCATGGGGTAACCAATAAGGTCTGAATTAGACTGTAATAAGGTAGGGAAGTGATAAGGGGTGGACAGGTATGGACTGTGGCAGTAGCTTGAAGGCGTCAATGTCAAACACATTTTGGCATCTACCAACTAGGACCCCGGTGGTATTGCACAGCAGGGTTTTGTCAAATCTGTAATTTCTTGAGCATTATGTATTGATGGAGTTGGCCAAACATCTCAATAGGACTAGGACTACGGAGCTTGGGCAATCGTTGACGCCAGATCTGGCTGTCTTCCCGCGCGTCTGCAGTTTCCCTTTAATGAAACACGCTATGTACGGTGCAAATAAAAATGTATCCCCTCGTATGCATAGGATTTCGCCACGTATAATAGAGGTTTTTTCGGGTTATATCGCGTAAATGTGTCGTTAAAACCCGCCACCACCCGACACAGCCAACTTGTAAGGGTTGTCACATAAACATAACATGCCAATTCGTCACTAGTACAGCACACCGGTGTGTTGGAGAGCCAAGCCACATTTACAATCTGAGTACGTTTCGCCAGTAATTACAACCAGCTTCATCATGATTAATGTTGTGGCTTGGCTCTTCAACACACCGATGTGCTGTACTCGGGTGGTGGCGGGTTTTAACGACACAATTACATATATTTACGCGATCTAACAAAAAAAAAACTCAAGTATATTGGTCGCGAAAGCCTACATGTTAAATTTATCCACAAACTTAAAATTGATCGAATTCTCAGAAGGCAATGGTCAGTCGATGGAAGTATCCTCGGTAACAAAGATCCCCCGTGTAGCCTTAACAGACTGTTGGGGCAAGTGCTGTTAGTAGCGAGTAGCAGCGGCGCATACGAAGGTCGGCGTTGTGGCACACGAGGGGCGGGCGTGGTGCTGGACTCCCTAGAGTGTGTTGTATATGTTGGATTGTTGGATTATGAAATTTTGATAAAAATAATAAAAATTAATAATTTTCAAAAAAATGCGCAAATCGCATAAATTATGTTAATATGTGTAAGTATATGCATACATTATGATAATCACGGATATAATCGTAGTAATTTATGCGAATGCTTGCGATTATGTTAATGTGTGCAGTTATGATAATTAGGCTTAGTTTTGTTTATCCAGAGTTGTATCAATCAGGATAACACGATTATCATTGATTAAACATGTATTGATTATCTTAGTGTGTTATGTTATTTTAGGTCTCCAACTTCATATCTCATCACAGGATACAGTTCTTAGGAATAAGACAGTTTTGCATGGATTTGGAAAGAAGCACTCGAACAGTTGGTGTTAAGAAATTTTAATTCTAAACAAACACATGACACTCTAATATGCAAAGGCAAAAGCATACGTCAATAAATTCATGAGCAAGATTATGCAATTAACGAAAATGAATGACTAAAACATCTCTTATTCATGTAACTCGACGGCAGCAACTGCTTTGCACGATCAGTTGATATTGAACGCACCACCTTGAAATGGCAACCCTTTTTGAAACGCAAAGATAACTTTTTGAAAGTCTTATTCATGTGCGTGTTGTGTGTGCGTTGTCCCTTTGTAAAATTAATTAAATTTTCCTTAGAGCCGGGAGTTGTGTCGTTAGCTTGTGGGGTGTGGGAGGGAATATACAAACAGCGGCCAGGTTCTCTCTGGCTTGGGCGTGGCTGCAGCGAGCCGTGCTGCTCCCTCGCTCGGGCGTGTCTCTGCTCGTGCGCTCTCACTCTTCACTGCTGGACGACGAGTTGGCACGACGCTCGCCGGCGTGGTGCGCGATGATTCCGTCGTCGCTGCGACGTCTTGTCTGTTCTTACTGGGTGTTGGTCGGTGTGGGTATCAAACACACGGCGCATTCGATGGCGCTCTTTCTCTCTAGGTGGCAGCTCCAGGCTTCTCTACTGCTGGATGATTGTTGGGTCGGCACGACGCTCGGTGACGCGGTGCGCGATGATATCGTCGTCGCTCTCTCTCCTTGATCGCTGCCAACTTCATACGGACACTCGCCCTTCAGGCGGTGTTGGGTCGAGCTCTGGACAACGCGGCTGTGCGCGCTCACTGGCTTGGAGCACTCTGGCGATGAACGATGGCTCTTGTTACTCATCCGCTGCTGCTCGTCCTTTTCGATGTTCGCTTGGTCAACGCTTGGCGATTTCCGCCCTTTTACAGGTTGATTGCTTGTCGTCACTCGTCACTCTCTCTTCTCCGTGCTTTCCTTTGTTCGTGCAGCTGCCAGCTTCACTCGCACTTAACTTCGTTCTGCGAGAAGCGACACCTGCGATCGGCATCGGTGTTTGCTCCCTCACGACGCTCCGCCAGCCGGAGCACGGCTAAAACCCAGTCTCGACCCAGGTTGAACTCAGACTTCTGCGACTCGAACGACCCCTCCTCGTTCCATCACTTCTCGAGGCACGACACGCCCCAGCTCCCTTGCGAGCCCCGTCGCAACACTGCGTCGCAAGCCGAGTCGCGAGACTGAGCGCGACTTGAACAGACTGCACTCAGGCGGTCACTCTAACGACCCCTTGTCGTCCCATCTCTCCTCGAGGCACGATCTGCCCCAGCTCTCTTGTGAGCCCCGTCGCAACGCCGCGTCGCAAGCCGAGTTGCGAGACTGAGCACGACTAGAACCAGACTGCTCATTCGTGATGTGCGCTTGTGCTTAAACTCAAAAACGTGACTCCCCTCTCTGCGCATCTCTTGCGAGAGGAACAACAAACCAAAAAAAAACCAAACGCCCTCGGAATGTCAGCACAGACCCCCCCCCCCCCCTCGCGACCCTTTCTAACCCCCTAAGTATTTATTGGGCCATCTGTTTGTGCCGGACCGTTGGAGACAAAGGTGGCTGAGGAGATTTTTGCAATACATTTATGTGGTCCTGTGTGTTTATTCTTGATATTTCTTATGAGTTCCCTCGGTCTTAGTATACCATGGTTATTATTCGGTCTGTTTAATGAATATTCGTAATGATCCTCGTTACATCATTATTTTGAGGGCTTTGCAAAGTTTAGTTCTCCAGGGATTGGTGTTTATTCTGAGTTATATTTTAATGTCCTGAGGTTAAGTGTAACTAAGTTTCCACTTAAGCTTTCTGGAATTCGTATTCTTTAGTTTTTAGGAAGGTCATGTAGATAGAAAACATATAATACTAAATAATATATATGCGGTGAATACGAGTAATATAAGGGAATTACTAATAAAAATCCCCTATTGTTTGTTGGTTAATTGTTTGTTAAGTTTCTACTTTTCAGTAAGGAAAACGTTAAGGAAAACGCGAGTTGCAACCGTTGTTTTCCTTTGCTCTGCACCTTATCTGTGCATCTCCAGATGTCTCTGACCTCTGTGACCGAATCCTTACCGTTTTAATGGCCCTCCGTGTTTCATATATTCCTGGTGTGCTTGTGAGGAGTAGTGGGTTGTTTTCATTATTTTATTTAAAAATATATATAGATAAAAAGATATTTTTTTAATTGTTCTTAATATAAAAAGGGGTTATAGACACAAGTGGCACACCTGTCAACCTCTTATCAGTGCCTACTTTATTACAGACCGTATTGGTCACCCCGTGCCCTTATAAATCTCAACGTTCCTCCTACAAAGTCCCATCATAAGGGAGAAACACATTTTGTTTGCCCGTATTGAAACGGCTGTACGCAGGAATACGGGGTCAACCGTATGGGTTGATAGGTACGCTATACCTATGTATCTCTATGGGTATCGATGAATCTGTACATAATACCTATCAAGAACTAATCAGTGCCTACCTTATTGCAGACCAATTCAGACCTTATTGGTCACCCCGTGCCCTTATAAATGTCAACGTTCATCCTACAAATCCTGTATTGAAACGGCTGTACGCCGTATGGACCTGAAATCTCAATATCCCTGTACAAGAATATGGGGTAAACCGTATGGGTTGACAGCTATGGAGTGGCGACGTTTAGATACACGCACCAAGCACTCATCTGAGGCTGAGTCGACCTACTTAGGGGGGCCAGGGACCCATTCAGATATTCGTCGCAACCGCTTTTGGTGGCAGTGAGCGGGCAATGGAACTCGGCTCGCCGCCGCCGCGCTAACTGTTGCGCCACCGCTCCCCACGTGGGAAAAAAACGAACTACATCGGATGCGCCGATTGGCCGAGCCGAGCATCGTCCCACGATAGAACCGAGCCGGTGATTGGCCGTAGGCGAGCATCGTCCCACGATAGAACCGAGTCGGTGATTGGCCGAGCCGAGCATCGTCCCACGATAGAACCGAGCCGGTGATTGGCCGAGCCGAGCATCGTCCCACGATAGAACCGAGTCGGTGATTGGCCGAGCCGAGCATCGTCCCACGATAGAACCGAGTCGGTGATTGGCCGAGCCGAGCATCGTCCCACGATAGAACCGAGCCGGTGATTGGCCGAGCCGAGCATCGTCCCACGATAGAACCGAGCCGGTGATTGGCCGTAGGCGAGCATCGTCCCACGATAGAACCGAGTCGGTGATTGGCCGAGCCGAGCATCGTCCCACGATAGAACCGAGCCGGTGATTGGCCGAGCCGAGCATCGTCCCACGATAGAACCGAGCCGGTGATTGGCCGTAGGCGAGCATCGTCCCACGATAGAACCGAGTCGGTGATTGGCCGAGCCGAGCATCGTCCCACGATAGAACCGAGCCGGTGATTGGCCGAGCCGAGCATCGTCCCACGATAGAACCGAGCCGGTGATTGGCCGAGCCGAGCATCGTCCCACGATAGAACCGAGCCGGTGATTGGCCGTAGGCGAGGGCTTGCGGGGGGTGGTCGCGATGGCCGCTCTCTTGGACTCTGGTAGCAGCGGTGGTGGCGGCGACGGCGATAATGACGACGCCACAGCGGAGTCTGCGCGGGATGTGGACGAGGAGGGTGAAGAAGAAGAGGAGGAGAAGGGAGAGTACGAGGTGGAGAGCATCGTAGACACCAGGACCTTCGAGGTGCGTCCGACCCTGACGGCTGCTGTATAGTTGGAGTTTGTTTGCATGTCTCTCTCTACCCCCGCGGACGCGTGGATTTTTCTCAGGTCCCCCCTCCACATTTATGTATTTACACGCGATGAGCCCACTTTGTTAAGCTATCCTGTTGTGGCCGGGACGCTTCTTAAAAAGAGCTACGACATATAGCTCAGCGGGGCCCTTACCTGGTACAGTACAATAAAACAAAGTTTATACAGTAGTTGTATTTTTGTTGAGAACGCCCGCCAGGCGCTCCCCGCAGAGACACGCGTAGCGACTGATAACTGTCCTGAGTCGTCTTGGTTCTTTCGGTAAAGTCACGTAGAAGGAAATTAATGAAAAATAAAACATAATATTTCCCTTCTACGTGACTTTACCGAAAGAACCAAGAAGATGAATCCCTGCAATCACGAAAGCTTTACATCGAAATTTAACTGTCCTGAGGTTGCGGATTTGCCCCTTTTGGGGCAAATCGCGACGCTGAAGTCGTCATATCCATCGTTGGAGTCATGAGTGTTTTTTTGCGAGTGTTCTCCCGCGCCAGCTGGGACACAGCAGGAGATGTTGGCATGTAATGCCAATGTCGAGGTCTGCTGAGTGGGTTTCAGCAGAGGGAGTGCCGTTTTGTTGATCCTCCGTTGAAGGATTGCAGACTAAAGTGCAGTAGTTTTACTGTGTGGTCCATAATTTGTGTGGCATGGCCACAGTCTCGCTACGGTTACACATATTTAATGTACCTTTGTGTGAGGCTATGGTTCTCTTAATATGGGTCTCTCTATCTCAGTGCATCTCCGAGTCTGTATCTCTTATGAGTCTCCATGTCATCTCTGTACGTGTGGGTTTAATATATGGTCCGTAGTTTGGGTTGCAACGGTGTGATTATTGACACGACCAGGGTTGCGTGTGTGCGGTGTCATCGTTTTGATGAGGATTTCATTATAATCTTGGGTGACTTGTGCGGCGTGATGGACTGTGTGACAGGGCGAGCAGCAGTTTCGCGTTCGCTGGCGTGGCTACTCGCCCGAGGAGGATACGTGGGAGCCCAAGGAGAACCTCGGGGGCTGCGAGGAGCTCCTGCAGCAGTTCTACCACAACAGGAAGGTGCGATCCAATGCCTCGACCCGCATGGACAAGCAGAGTGGTGTCTATGGGACCGTTTTGACAGTATCAAAAGGTCCCATATATAATATGATTGTTCAACCCGAGCTATTAATACAGTACTTGCATTGCCGTTGTACTGTCCGCCTTTTGGCGTTCTGTGGTCTAACACTGGTGAGACAAGGCCATAAAACGCCGTCTCTGGTGTAGGCCAATCAGTTTCAAAAACGATGCTTATATTATCAGAGTGTGTTTGCGTGTTTTTCCGCAAGTATGTGTGGTTAATGCAGATTTAATGGCATGTATTATTATCAGAAAGGATAAAGCCTCTTCTTATTTTTTTCATCAGAACACAACATATGTCACCTTGTACTGACTTATGGGAAACATTGCTTCATTACAGTTTTTGAGAACAGGCCCAAATACGTAAAATGGCCAGAAACAAACGGCACAAAGTTGTAATAGATAAGCGTTAACATATATTTGTTTAATTGTCCGGACTTAGTGTGAGGGGAATCAACGATGGGACGATATTCTAACGTGGATTAGTGCAAGGGAAAAAGCAGAAAGATAAGTATTTTGATCTGCAGGTGTGGCAGCTGGGTGGTTGAGTTGAGTTGTGATTTGTAGTATTGCGGTTGAACACACGCATTGTGGATGAGACAAAACAGTCGGTATGGGAGACCGCGTTCTCAACATGCGTGGAGGAACAGTAACCACGGTAGTAGCAATAGAAGAGTGACGACGAAGCGGCTGACCACCGGTGATCATGTGATTGGAGTGAGTCTGAATGCTGGATCGTCAATCACCCTGACTGCTGCTTTACGGCGAATTCCATCGAGTAGAGCAAGGGGGGAACTGGGTGCTGCACTCCAGGTATGATAGCAGCAGGATTTCCAACTTTTGGCAGAGTATGTAACAATATGTGATGGTTTACAAACCCGGCACTCGGATGGTTTGCACCAGTGCCGTTTTTGATTCTTAAAATCAGGAATTACCAGTGGCTGTACTCTACATGTACAGTACTGTACATTTGCACAATACTGTACATTTGTATATCCACTATTAAGTTGATGTACAGTACTGGCTATTAAGTGGATGTTAAAGACCAGAACACTTTTCCATTTGTAACAGTATGTCATTGCAATCTTGATTTGAAGCTTTCATGACTGCAGGAATCTATACTCTTTGGGTCTTTCGGTAAAGTCACGTTGGTAGAAAAAATAATAGATCACGACGTTTCGATCGCAACAGATATTCTCTTGATCAGATATTCTTTTGATGCCTGAATCATTCTCTTGAGAAGCCCCCAATCATGCAAAAAAGAGAAATCCGACTGGAATGACGATAGCCTCTTCAGCCTACGATAACACGAATTTACAGTGTTCTCAAAGATCATTGGGAGCAGAATAATGAACAACCTAGAGGCAAAGCAAACATGGGGGTGAGCAGGGTTTTATAATCTTGTCTCCACCGGCAACCACATGCAGACTAAAATCAGATTCTTGGACAGACCAATGAATGTCAATTACCATTGTGCCTGCCCTTTGTAGACTACTAGCTTTACTACCCGGCTTTGCCCGGGACTTGGATTCTTGTCTTGGATTCATTTAATATTCCTTTATATTTCAGTGGAAAACTCTGAAAAAGATTGATGCTTGCAAGAAAGAAAAAATCCGAAACAAATCAATTTAACTAAATTGGATGTTTTTCACTCAAGGAAATTGAACCTTAACCAGGCGACTCGGGAAGGGAATGACGTGAGAGCTGAAAATTGTCGCGTTCCCTTAAAAGTTCCAGACAGCATGAGCTGTGCAAATTTAATGACGTGCGAGCTCAGCGTTCGAGAGTTTTTGCTGCTTCACACTAACAGGGCTTGCGGGGGGGTGAAAATAGTCGCGTTGACTTAGAAAATTGAGACTGCTATGCCGCGCATTTGTGCGGGATACACGGCCTACGCGGAGGGTGAGGGGGATGGGTGACGTCAGCAGGCACACTGCGTAACGCTGCCGCATGTGGGTGACATCACAGATGTGACGTCACGGCTCACTTACCGTGCAAAATATATGCATTATTGCGTCCCCCTCCGCCCCCCAAAATACAAATCTCTATTTTTATACTTTTTGCATTGTGTATAGTCTGGAAGCTACCCACATGCCAAATTTCAAGTTTGTTGCATGTTGGGAAGTATGCTAAACATTTAGAACAGAAACACATTAACAAATTTCCCTTTTTTATATATATAAATGAAAAATCATTTAATGTAGTCATTCATCCACGCTGTCATAAAAAAGGTGCAAGTAAAACATTTAGAAGTAATATCGTTTTTTTACTAAAATTGTAAGAGCCACACTAAGACTTTAAGAAAAAGTATCAACATATTAAACGGGTAGTCAGACTAGTTGACACGTTTACCGAGGTTAATCACTGGCAACATTACAATAAATTACAACAGTGGAACTTGTGGAGCCCATGGAGTTACAATGATGAATATAACATAGCAAGAGTCCCACTATTGTAAAGCCTTCTCGTGGGAGAATTTTACAGTGGTGGATATTGCAAACTAACCCATCGGTGCCTAGGTTAATATCGTTTGAACCAAAATCTGACTGTTCTTTATAATTTGGCAATAATATTTAGTATTTTTCAGTTTATAAACGTAAAGTTTGTTTTAGATGTGAGTGTTTGAGGGTAATTCATCTTGTAAATTATTGGTGCAAGTCTCGTGGGTGTTTGTGTCATGTGTTGTTGTGTTTCCTGTTGACTTTACAATGGCATCTTTATGAAGTTCTTGTATTTTTCCAGGCCCTAAAGTTGCACTCCGCCAACGACTCTGTGACGTTGAGCCATAAGAAAGAAAATAAATCTGAGAAAAAAAATGAAACGTTGGCATCGCCAGGCAAATCTCATCAGCAGAAGAAAAGGAAGAAGAGGAAGAAAGAAAAGAGTGGCGAGAAGGCCAAGCTGAGAGACGAGCAGAGCAGCACAGACCAAACATCGGCCAGCAAGTCCAAATCGGCGCGGAAGCACCACCATAAGTCGGAGCGCCGCCACAAATCGGAAAAACGCAGCAAATCCAAGCACCGCCATCATATGTCACAGCCAGAGGGCGACTCCCGGAAGCATTGCGAGAATGCAGAACCAGCAAAGAAGTCTGCAGTGGTGAGGGAGAAGCAACTTGAAAGGCTTTGTCCAAGCCCTGAGGAGGGAAAAAGTGATTTCTCATCAATGCATCACTCTAACCACAATACCAATTCCAAGAAAGCCATGGAAATCGAAGCTACCTGTGCTGTTGTGAAAATCGAAAGATTGTCTGACAATGAAGAATATTTAAAATCCTACCAAAGCGATAAACAACGCAACAACAACCTCCCTGGCATGAGGAACGTCTCGGTCAAGGTGGAACTAGATTGGGAGGGCTCTGTGACCTCTGACACTGGGAGTGTCATTCATCACAGTGGCGGGATGCCGAACTTGTATAGCCAGGAGATCGCTTGTGAAGGAGGGCTTCAAAATCAAGTTGTTGGTTTGATGTCACCAGCTTCTGAATATTCAGGTATAAGTCCCAAATATATGCAATCAAAATATAAAAAAACACAAAAACTAATAGTTGGATGCAGAAAACTGGTAGTGCTGGTGTATAGGTTAAAATTATCTGCTGTTGAAGGAAACAAGCCAAGTGAAAAACCTAATATCTCAGTGCCGAGCGAGTATGAAAGTGTGCAGGCTGGAGTCAGCAAGGTGCCTGTGAAGAGTCTGTGTGGTGAAAAATTGGCCGACTCGAAATGTCTACCAAATAAAGAAAACCTTGAAGATGGGAAAATAAAACCGAAAAAAAGAAAAATGAGTCCAGATGTTACCAACTCTGTTGAGAGTGATCCTGAATTGCACAAAAAGAGACACAAGCATAAACACAAACACAAAGCACAATATTCCATTGAGCCGAAGAAGAGCAAGAAGGTGAGCTCAGCTGATACGGTTTGTGAAATGGAAGTGGACGTCACTCAGCAGGAACTAGCAGATGAAACCCAGGGGGGAAAATACTCTTCGGATGAAAATAAAGCTTTGCATGGAGCTTGTGGAAGTTCACTGCAGAAGCTTCAGGAGTCACTTAACCTCGACTTGATTCATAACGATGAGATGTCCTCTTCAGAGGAGTCCATTCTTAAAAACCTGGGAGAAAATCCTCCCTCGGGGACAGCGATGCCGTCGCCGCCGCCTTTAGACGGAGTGACCTGCGACACCAAAACGCAAGCGCTGAAGTCTGTCCCCACGGCAGCGAAGCAGCAGCAGCTGCCCGTTGACTCAAAGCCACGCTCGTCGGACTCCAGTCTGCTCAACGATGTCATCGGGGACCTCCAGATGCGCCCGTGCGAACCAAAGGCCCGGCCTCGCGAGGAGATGACCTTTGACTGCCTCAGCCTGGAGCAGCTGAGGCGACGGCTTTTCGAGGAGTGTGTGAATGCCGCCGCGATGGCGCCATGCGACGCCAGCGGAGTAGTCGGTAACTGCCTCCTGCACAGCGTACCCACAGCCCGGTCCCCCCGCGGTGTGTGCGTGTGTACGTATTGTCCACGGTGAGCAGTGGTTAACGTGCTGCGATATGGACCCAGCGACCCGAGTTCAATTCTCGCCCGTGGCCAACATCAGTGACGAAATATCTGAACCGGTCCTGGGTCTTACCATTATCAACTAAACTTCAAACGAGTACTTGGTGCGGTGTGTAAACATCACCAATGGGGAGACAAAGGCGGCCAAATGTAGTGTTGGCCACTCATGTGCCGTGCTGATATAATTTACCCCCAGTCTGGATGGCCATACGGGGATCTTTGCTGGGGTCATTTACAAGTAACCTGGTAACAGACGCACAGAAACACATCTTCAACAGCAGCACAAAGCAATAATCCCAGCATGTGCTTCACATTAAGATGAGATGAACAAAATACTAAAGTCTTGCTATGGAATTGCCTCTTCAGCCAAAATGCTTGAATTTGTTTATTTTTGCTGCCCTTAAATCGTGTAGAATTTGACTACAGTGTAGGGGGGGACTTATTCCTGATGCTGTGTGTGCAAAAATCTAGGTTGATTAATTTCTTTAGAACTGCTTTTTGTGTTGAATTGATTGTCCCTCCTCCGCATCTCCTATTAACACGGTTGGCTATGTACAGTTCAAAAGAAGTAAAAATAAATATGTGTTACTGTATTCAGCACTGCACGTGCAGCACGTATGTGTGGGGTCTGAACTACTGAGTGGTGGTGTGCAAGTAACTCCACTAGGTGGTGCTGTGGTGGGTGGGGTGTGTGTTTGAAACATTCAGGCTGGCCTGCCTAAGACCCATCTTGAGTTTAACCAGACTGGATTGTGTAAGAATCTCACCTATCCTTGAAAGATCTGGACAGTCCCATCAGTGTGCTCCTCCGGAAAGTTAGTTGCGTTGGGTGGGTCATGTAACCTGCATGGCAAGCGTCTTCTGTTTGGCCAGATACATGAGGATTAACGGGCATGGCATGGGCGAGAGAAGAGATGGACTGATGTAGTACAGAAAGATGTGGAGCTGATTGTACTTGCCAATGACTGGTACCAGCAGTATCAAGATGAAGGTTTGGAAAGGATGCATCTCTGTAGTTTCAGCAACAATGGAGGGTGGAGGAGCGACACTCACAACAACAAGCAGGGTGCTAAAACACAGCAAGTTGGCACAGGTGGGAGCACAGTTGGTGCATCTGCCAGTCATTTCAGTCTGTTAACCCATAGCACCTTGTCTGTTCCATGACCTCCTGTCAGCGAGCCTTCGACACTTCACTTGGCCTCAAAGTGTGCAGATCGCATGACACAAGCGCTATGGTGATGTCGCCACCATTTAGTGGCGGACGGCAGTTGTGTGGTGAGTGATGTGTGTGTGTGGTGAGTGATGTGTGTGTTTTGTGCGGTGGTGACTGTAGGCATGGGGGAGCTGCGCGAGGCTGTGCGCACTGGCGACATGCACACTGTGCGGGCCGCACTCACCACGCAGCTCCACCAAGTCGACCATGAGGTTTGTGACCTACATCTCGGCTGGCGTTGCCACCTTTCACAAAGGCCAAATCCAAAATATTTCTCAGTGTAGGTCTATTGAACCTCTCCAGTATGCAAGTAAAGTTAAATACAATACTGGTGTCAGATCTTGGTACAAAGCAGTTCTTGCCACCTGATCCCAGTTTTTGCTAAGGTACAAAATCGCATGTTTAGACACCTGTTCCCATAGCTTTGTCGGTGTCCGTGGTTTTGCACATTTCTTTGTGTGCAATGCAACTGCTCAATCTAATCGGGATGTTCCATTATGCCTGAAAACGATACACCAAAACCTTGCCCGTCACGGGGGTTACATTTTTCAAAAGAGCCGCAATCGGTAAATACGCAAACGGCGCACTTTTGGCGTCATCTGGTCCAACACCATGTGAGACTAGGCTCTAAGGAAAGCTGTCTCGGGTGTGGACCAATCAACTTCAAGGACAGTGCATACATTATCAGAGTTATGTTTTTTTTTGCATTATGACTGCAGGTATTGTGGTCTATGCAAGGTGTCAGTTTTGTTGCCAGATAAAAGGGTAAAAAACCGATTATCATATTTTTTACTGGCAAATGAGGTTCCAATGAGGTATGGTGTACTCAAAAACATTGTCCCAATATCGAGAGCAAGACGCTCCTCGGAAATGGCGAGTGTCTCAGGTGTGGTGGTGGTGACGTTGCGCTGTGCACAGGACGGGACCGGCATGACGTTGGTGATGCTGGCCGCTGCATTTGGACACTTGGACATCCTCCGGTTGCTCATTCGCAGCGGGGCCAACGTAAATGCACGGCAGAAAAACGGCAGCACGGCTTTAATCCACGCAGCTGAGAAGGTACTACGGTTATAATCCACGCAGCCGAGAAGTTACCATGGCTTTAATCCATACAACTAAGAAGTTACCATGGCTTTAATCCATGCAACCGATAATTTACCATGGCTTTAATTCACGCAGCAGAGAAGTTACCACAGCTTTAAGCCATGCAGCCGAGAAGTTACCATAGCGGGGATCTAGAGTTTGGGAAATTTGTCGAGACGTGTGTAATTATAGTCAACTGGCATGTTTTATTAATTAATGTTTGAGCCTCTCTTAATTTTTGCTGTCAATGCGTGGTGTCTTGACAGAATCATCTGAGCACTTTGGCTTTGCTACTGGAGAATGGAGCCCGCGTGAACCTCCAGCAAAACAATGGGGAGACGGCTTTATCGAAGGTGGGCGCTTACTATGTGAAATCTCCATATTCATTCACCGCTGGAACGTTCTTGACTCGTCCTGATATGATGTGCTTCCTAATATGTCAGATTATCACTCTTCAGTCGTGACCACCATGGTTACTGTTCCCGTGAACTTCACTCGTTGATCCCCCCCACCCGTGTTGAGGACTCGGTCTACCAGACACTGACCGTTTAATCTCATCCACACTGTTCAACCACCACACTGCATGTGACAACATTACACTGACTCACCCACTCCACTCACACACTCGCCCACTTACGCATTGGTCAAACTACTCACTTTTTGCTTCTTCCCTCGCACTGCTCCAATTTGGAATCCTAACCCATTGTCTCTTCCCCAGCATATATAATGATTGCTGAATGCAATACATAGGTGAACTTCTTATCTATTCTACGTTCAACAATGCTCTTTAATGTAAGATCCTGCTGAAAGGAGACTTAGTGAGGCTTCCCTGGGTAAATAAATCAAATTGTAGATGTTAAGGATGTAATGACATACATTACTTGTTGACTTTATAGGTGGTTTATTTAAATGAACATTTATTTTTTATTATTATTTTACACATGCAGAGGGCAAATTTGTATTCACCATGCAATTGTTCTACATCTTATCTCTTGTCTGTGGACCATGTAAAGATCTGTTCACGACGGACAGGGAGCCAAACCGGTTGGTTTTCTGGTGCGGCTGGTCAGCATTGTTTTTTCCCATGCCTTTAAGTCACCAATGCCAACCCCAGCTTGGGCTGGACACCTGTGCAAAAAGCTTCAATGCTCATCAGGTTGTTCCAGTTTAAATAAAATGTCTTGTCAGTCACCACTACTCTTTGGTTCTTTCGGTAAAGTCACGTATAAAGATAAAATAATAAATCAAATAATAGCATACGATGTTTCGATTGCAACACAAGCAATCATCATCAGGTATAAATGAAATAGCAACAAAAATCTAACCAGAAAACTATAGACAGACATATAAGCAGACAGATATCACCAAGATACATAGAGAGAGAGTAACACATAGGCACAGAGAGGGAGATCGTCTCTGTGGCGAGGCCTTAAATAGACAGAGGGGGGCGGGGGCGGAGAGAGGGAGGGGTTAGAGAAAAAATTAACATGTCAATGAGTACGGCGACGCGTGGTAAAGTATGCAAGCTTGAACATTAGGAGAGAGGGAGAAAGAACACACTAAATTAAATAACCTAGCAAAATATCGAAATATTACGTAATACAACACAGAGAGTCGGTCAACACACAATTAACGCATAGCCTGGTCGATTACGTATTTCAAAGATTGCTAAGTTAGAATTTAAGTGTGAAAATTTCAAAGAGAGACAAAACATAAAACGAGAAGAATGGAGACACACAGACAGAGCAGAACATTAAAACGACAAAAAACGAGTGGAGACAGAAAAAGTTAAGAGTATTTGGCTGCAATACATTTCCATGTGATGAGCTACTTGGTTGAGCTATCATTTTTTGGTCAGGTCTCTTCTGAAAAAGAGCTACAGTAGAACCTCTAGTCACGAACGCTTCTGGCCACGACCAAATCGGGTTCCGACCAAAAAAATGCACTTTTTTTTAATCTGGTCACGAACACATACTCGGGTGGCGATCAAACGCGGCCTCGGCCGATTTCCCCTTCCACGCCATTTTTTTGTAAGCGACAAATTTCCTGTTGTTTGTTTCGGTCAGTGTAGTCATACCCCTCCCCCCTCATTCAAGCCGTAATTTAGAGAGCGAAAGTGCTGAGTACGTAAATCGCTAACATAAGAAACCGGTAATCTCTTCTCGCATCATTCAGATGATGATGCGGTGAAGTAAACGTTCATAATATATTACGTGAATGCTTCTAAAAACAATACTGTACCCAAATATTACTGTTAACTTACTTTCAATAAAAACATGAATTGCTCATACGAATATTCTCTCTCAGAATCGACCGACTGATGTAGCAGACGAAACAATCATCTTGTTGAACAATTCTAAACCTTGACGTGGCAATGTTAGTTTTCTCTGTTGTTCAAGGTTTTCTCAGTGTTATGCAATGTTTTTACATTTAGTTTACTATTACACTGTGAATTCTATGGCATAATTAACTATTTTTGTGCTTAAAAATCTTTAAAAAACAATATTTATATACAGTTCGGAGTTTGGAGCGGATTCATCGTATTTACATACAATCCAATGGGGAAATTAGGTTCGAGTCACGATCAAATCGGGTTGCGACCAAAGTAAAGTTATGGAACGAATTATGGTCATGACCAGAGGTTCTACTGTACATAGCTCAGTGGGCCTCACCTGGTAAAATAAAAGTTTTTTTAATTAGTTTTTTTATGTTTGTATATTTGAACCGTTTTTATCTGGTAACCACATTAATTCATTTGGGTTTTCATTCCAGAGCATAAAACACATTTTGATGTTTTATTTCTGGATATGTGGCGGTTAATACTGGTTTTGTGTTCTGTTTTTTTGGTTTTGTTTGACCCTCTGATGTAATTGTGTTCCCTCCTTGGTGTTGTGTTGTATTGTGAATGAGACAGGCCTGCAAGAGGGGCGACGTGGAGATGGTCCGGTTGTTGCTGGACAACTTTGCTGACTGCAGTGCGATGTTGGTGCAGCAGAGCGCAACCCAAGCTCATCAAAAACTGTACTCCAACCAGATTATTTCTGAGATGATTGCCAACAACAGACAATTGTAAGTGACTCTTCACACTCCAACCGGGCCAAGTGACTCACTGGTAGAGCACCTACCATTAGCACGGTTGGCTACGTACAGTGCAAAATAAGTTCTGTGTACATACAGAGTACAGCGGCGTTCTTGATTAATACAGTGGCGTTCTTAATTCATATGGAGAGATGTGTGGTCTGTTGGACAAACTGGATCCTTAGAGGTTATGAGAAGCTGAATTTCTCATGGCTCAGTCAAGATTCCTCCGTGTGGTAGCCAAGTTTTAACGTGGAAATATACCCATAATGTGAAGAAGTCTGCACGCCTGCATGTAAGGGTTTCAATAATTATAAAATTACTTTATGTGAAACCGTATCTATTGGCATATTATTTGAGAAAAGCCTAGCTGAGCCTAAGTCCTTTTTAGTGGGGTTCCATTCGTGATAGTTTGGCTTGAGAACCCAAAAAAACCCCTTCAAGAATATAAGTGAATACCACTCAAAAGTTCCCACAGAAGTGTCTATGAACCCACTTACTGGATTCCAATCTCCTGGCCACCTTAAAGCCCACTGTCTGGAAGATTTTGAAAATGTACATGATCCATCAATCTCTGACTCCAAATCGATGAGATCCTGGATTCAATCCAAGTTTCGGCCACCTGATTAAACCCATGTTTTCGAGTTTAGTAAGTTGATACACTCAGTGTAATCACTGCAGATGACAACAATGCAGGTCACAACAATACACTCGCTCACCAACTCACACGCTCGCCACACTGCAGGTCAAAGCATTTCATTTTCTGATTCTGTCCACACTCTGCCCCAGTAGGAAGACATGCAAAGAGAATTGTTTTGACCTGCAGTGTCTGGCATAATCGTCGATTACATGTAATTCACACTTGATAACAAGGAACTAAATATTCACAATGTAACTTTTACAATTTAATTACACCAAAACCATTAGTGGACAGTTTAGTCCGAACCACATGCCATCGCCAATCCAATAGATGGTGGAAGTCTTGCGCTTTACTGCCGTGGGAAAGGCCAAAGATTTTTCCTGATTGTTTGGAAGTATTTATTTTATTTTTATTTGCACAATAAATTTAACTAAGTGTGCAGAATGAGAGGAGACGGAGCCATAGCATGTGCAACTATATGTATGTATGTTGAACTTCTTTCTCACCTTACGTAGCCAACCGCGATAATCGGAGGTGTGGGGGAAGGACAACAAACTAAACACACAGCAGTTCTAAAGAAATTAATTTTCAATATAGACTGTTACAGCTTGAGTAACAGTGTCCTATTTTTTCTGTATTCGGTGAATACTGAGTGTGATATTGACTGTATAAATGCAAACCTTGTGTTCTCTTAAAAATAACATATACAGTGGTACCTTGGGAAATGTCGTTAATTCGTATAGAAGGTAGGACTTTTACCGAAAATGACATATACCAAACGAATTTTTCCCATAAGAAATAAAGTGAAAGGAAATAATCCGTTTCAGAGTATAAGAAATGATATTTTATATGGCATATTATACATTAATGGGGTTGTATAAAATAATTTAGACACTACTTATTACTAAAATGCATACATAAATTCAAATAAATGCATAAATAACTTAAAATAAACATTAAAAAAAATGTTACGTCACTTTACTTTGCTGAGAGGAGTTGATAGCCTACGAGAATGGTGGTGAGGAAGGGGAGGAGATGTTATTTTTTGGAAGGAGAGTCCTCTTCCATTAGAACTTCAGGAAGCTGAAATTCTGGGGTTCTTTCTCTTTTCTGTCTTTTTTCTTGACTTGGACCTGGTTGAGGCTCACCAGGTTTGAGTTTTACTAAAAACCTGTCCATTGAAGTTTGCTTTTGCCTTCTAAGAATGTTCCTGAAGTGTTACATTGTCTGGTCATTCCACACAATACTGTTACAACGGCTTGTTAGAACCGTAACAGTATTGTGTACGCGGGTACTGTACGCAGTGACTCATCCTGACCCATACAAGTTCGAGCAAGCGCGTCCGTTCCCAAGCAAGACGTCGTATCCCAAGACATTTTTTCCTCGTCAAAACATGACGTATACCAAATTCGACGTATTCCAAAGCGGTTGTATACCGAGGTATGACTGTACATACACAAATACTAAGCTATTGTGAAAGCCCGGTGTTCCGTTTGTCCATTTGTCCGTCAACACAATTATAAGAGGATTGAAGAAGTCCTGAATCAAAAAGTAATAAAGTGGGGAGTAAATAATTTATCTAAAAGGTTTCCGAAAATTGTCGACCCTCCCTCAACAAGTATTTTTACCCCCCCCCCCCCCGTAGGCATATATACCGTCACACCCTGCATACAATAGAGTGAGTAGTATCTAGTGCAGGGGTGGGCAAACTTTTTCACTCGTGGGCTACAATGGGTTCTAAAATTTGACAGAGGGGCCGGGCCAGGAACAGATGGATGGAGTGTTTGTGTGAACTAATATAAATGACATGTGAAAATCATTACATGAAAGGATTTGGCCTTTAACAGGTAGCAAACAAATTGCATGAACATGAACAGCACAAAAACATGTCGTAACGTGACTGATGAAACATCATGAAAACATCTGAGGCCTGCGCCCAAACCAATTACCTCACTTGAACGTCTTTATTATCTACATTAACAGGTTAGAGCAGCCACGCAGGCTGTGTGATGGAGATTTGGCTCCAACCTCGCTGCAGCAACAGATCATCAGTTTCAGTGGGAACAGTGTTGTTGATCTCCCATTTTTGCCAGTGCGTCCAAGTCTGGAGTTATTTTGGTTGTGGCAATTCTCAGGATAGATCTGAGGTGCTGATCTGTTAACTTTGATCTGTGACGGGCTTTGTAGGCGTTCATGACGCTGAATGTCTGCTCACACACATAAGTCGAGCCAAACAAAGTCAGTATCTTCTGTGCAGTCCTCCGGAGGTTTGGAAACGTGGCTCTTAAGTGAAGCATAAAAGTCATTCAGTTTAACAGAGTTGAACTTCTCCTTTAGGACGGAGTCAGACTGAAGATCTATCAGTTCCAACTGTAGCTCCTGTGGTGCTGTTTCAGGGTCTTGTGACAGGGGACAGGACACCAGCTGAAGTGACTGTTCAATGTTTTCGAAATCAGAGAACCTACGGCAGAATTCTCCGTGCAGGTCCTCAAGCGATTTGCTGTATTTTTTTGCGTTTCGCGGTGCCTCTTCCTGCATGGCAAGTGTGGGGAAATGAGCGAAAGATTTGTTCGCAATTTGTCCGGAGAACAAAGTGAGCTTGGATTTTAAGGCTTTCACATTCTAGATTTGAGGCTTTCGTGACTGCAAGGATTCATATTCTTAGGTTTTTCGGTAAAGTCACGTAGGTGGTGGTGGGAATCCGGTTTCAAGTAGGAATCTGTGTGGGTGGCTTTCCTGTAGACAGAATGTCCCAAGGATCCGTCAGGCCTCCTCTCAAACAGAATATCCAAGAATGGTAGTTTACCGTCTTTCTCCACTTCCATGGTGAATCCCCCAACCGGATTCCCACCACCACCCATCTTAAAATAATTCTCATCAAAACGCTATACCACAGAGCCCATGGTATTTCTGACCAACACCACCTGGCCGGTGAATTAAGACATGTACATCGGGCCCTCAGGATGAACGGATACTCTGACCGCACTATCCGCCAAGCTGTTTCTCCCACCATACAGAAACAGCCACATGAAGCTCCGACCAAAACTATCACGTTGCCATACATAGCAGGCGTGACCAGGAAGATCTCCAAGATTCTAAACAAACATAAGATCCAAGTCCGATTCAGTACAGTGCATACAATCCGTGATTTGATTCCATCTGTGAAGGATGTCGTTCCTGACTTACCGCATCCTGGAGTCTACAAATTGAGTTGCATTTGTGGTGATTGCTACATTGGAGAAACGAAACGTCATGTTTCTGATCGTGTCCGCTAACACAAGTCAGATCTGAAACACGGCAGAACTGATTCTTCGGCCGTTGCCGATCATTGCTACAACTCGGTGGGCTCTCATGAAATTGTCTTTTCCGAGACCAAGGTTCTCTGCAAACCTCCTGGCTACCATCAAAGGTTTGTACACGAGGCCATACAAATATACAAACACAGACATAATTTCAACCGTGATGACGGTTACAAACTGAGTAATCATTGGAAAGATGTGATTAACCATGCAAAAAAGATTTAACTACACTTATTTGCCAATCTTATTTGACAGACAACTATTACAGTTTTACCATGTTTAGTGGTTGTCTCCCTGTCACAGGTTGAGTCACAGGCCGTGCCTCTCCATAAACAAAGGCTCAGCCTTTGTTATGCAGTCTATTCTTAGTCTTGAGCCTCACCTTACCATATTAATAAAAAGTATGCGGCCCTTGCCCCACCACCTTCTCCAACCATTATATAAACGGAGTGGTAGCTCCTGCAATCTCTCATTTACTTGATGCAGCTTTCGTGGCTGTGACGGTACCACCTGAAGACGGAAGCTTGTGTTGCCTCCGAAACGTCGTGATTTTACTTTTTAATGTTTTTACCTACGTGACTTTACCGAAAAAACCTAAGAATAGGCTTTCACATGTTTGTACATGTCGTGAACAAACTGATCTTTCCCCTGCAGTTTCACATTCAGCTCATTCATGTGTGAAAATATGTCCACAGCAAACGCAAAGTCACTAAGCCAGTTCTTGTCGCTTAGCTCAGGGAATTCGTCAGATTTCCCCATCAACTCCAAAAATTCGATGATGTCCTCTTTCAGCTCCCACACTTGTTGTAACACTTTCCCCAAACTTAACCAACAGACATGAGAATGGTACAGCAAGTCCTGATGATCCGCATCAGTTTCCTCCAGGAATGTAATAAACTGACGGTGCTGAAGTCCCCTTGCTCGTATAAAGTTCACAAGCTTTACGACTGGATTCACGACATGATTAAGCTGCAATACAGACTTACACAGGGATTCCTGATGGATGATGCAGTGAAGGAAAATAAGATCCTGGACAGGTTCTTTCACTTTATCCTGGATTCTTTTCAGCAGCCCAACATTTTTTCCAGTTAAATTTGGCGATCCATCCGTTGTGACATTAACAAGTTTACTCCGAGGTAGCGTCATTCTTTCGATGACAGCAGATACCTGGTTATACAAGTCTTCTCCCCGCGTTGTTCCTTTCAGGGACTCCATGGTCAAAAACTCCTCTGTTATCGCAAAACTGTCGTCAATGCCTCGGATAAAAATGAGGAGCTGAGCAGTGTATTTTACGTCTGTACTTTCATCCAGTGCTAGTGAATATAATTCAAAGGAATCAGACTTTTTATTTAATTGACTAGCTATATTTTTATCAATCAGTTCCACACGGTGAGTCACAGTCCTGCGTGATAAACTGACTTTTTCAAATTTGCTTTTGATCTCTGGACACGAGATGTCTGCTGTCTGTACCATGTATTCTTTTACAAACTTGCCTTCGGAGAAAGCGGTAATGAGTGGTGATGTTGGTGAGAAGTTTTTAAATAAAATTTAAATCGAAGTGAAGAAGGAAATTATTGAAAAGTTTGTATAATTAATGATTTTTAAAACTTTAATTATGTTTTCTGTGCTTAAAACTCTTGAAAAACTGTGGGGTCTAGAACGGACTCGTGAAATTCGGAGAGAACTCGGGAGTTAAGTTTTGTTGAATTACACAAAGTGCGCCATCTATTGCGGAAATGGGGGCATTACAGGAGGAAGGTAAAATTTTATTTAATAATAATATTTGGACAAGTTCGGCAGGCCGGATTAAAAAGCCCAACGGGCTGTATATGGCCCGCGGCCGTACTTTGCCCATGTCTGATCTAGTGACTGGCTTTACAGTAGTATCTACTGACTCTATAATAGTATCCACTGACTATAGTAGTATCTGCTGACTATAGTAGTATCTGCTGACTATAGTAGTAACTACTAACTCTATTGTAGTATCTGCTGACTATAGTAGTATCTGCTGACTCGCAGTATCTACTGACTTGCAGTATCTACTGACTCTGCAGCAGTATATACTGACTGTAGTAGTACCTACTGAATCTATAGTAGTGTATATATATTCTATAGTAATGTAATGACTCTCGGACAACTTCTGTAAATCTTTGTTATTTATTTATTAAGGCGCGTCATGCAGAAACTTGATCTCATGCCTACAGATACTTGGGCAAGGAGTAACATATAGATACTTGGGCTAGGATTACACACAAGTAGCGACTTACGTGAAGGTGGTTACATCCCGAAGACAGCCAAAGCGTGGAGATAGCAGTCGACCCCCGATCCCACGGCAGCCCCGAGCTCACTCGCCCGCCGCCTTATATCTCACCTCAGTGTCGTCTCGCTCCACCCCCGGTCACGCCCCTTTTCTGGAATTGTCTCGGCCTATCCCGATCTTCCCCAATGGTTCCCTCCTGTAATTATCCCTTGTGACTAATTGTCCACGCACTGTCCCTGCACCCGTACTGTCTCCCCTTGCACACTGTCTCCTCTCCACGTACTATTTCCACACATGCCTTGTTTCTCTTTCCACACTGTCTCTACAGTATCCACTGACTTTCGTAGTATCTACTAACTCTATAGTAGTATCTACCGACTTGATAGCAGTATATACTGACTATGGTAGTATCTACTGACTGGTAGTATCTACTGACTCTATAATAGTATATATCGACTCTATAGCAGTAACTTCTCACTTCACAGAGTGCCGTGGTGAGGCCTAGTCCCATGGATAGCTGCCGTCCTTGCCTAGATAGCCTAGCCGGCCGAGGTGGCATCTTGGCCGGCTGGGGCTGGGCTGCTACCCCCCCCCCCCCCCCACCATCCCCCCGCCAGCTCTACAATAGTTGTGTAGTGACATCGGGGATGTCATTGTATGGTGCCGGCCTGAGAGGGCCGTGATGTGCGATGCACTGTCATCGCATACACCTCGTGGGCGGGTGTGGTACCAGCCCTAGCGGGGCTTGGTGAGCGCTGGGTTAGCGTAGGCACCACACATAGCGTGTTGTGCGAGCTCCCACCAGGGGGAGTGGGAGAGTTAGCCCAGGGGTAGGGTTGCCCCGGGCCATGGCACTCTGGTTGACCCCGTAGACACGTGATCCGGAGTGTCCACAGAGAGGCCCACTGGTGGTGGGGGGGGGGCTAGGGGGTGATCACGTGTCGGGGGAGAGCTCCCGAGAGGGATGGAGAGGGAGCTAGAATGATCGAAGGTGGGCGGGGCCAAGAGCGGAGCGGCCCCGACCCGGGGGGGATATAAGATGGGTCCCTGAGAGGGACCGGGGTCGCTGCATTCTACAAACTGAAGCTCCATGTCTACAAGCTGGAAGCTCTGTCCTACGAGGCATCAACACGTGGTCGGGGACCCGAGTGAGGGTCTAACCCTTCGTAGCTATACCTCCTACGTATAGAGTAGTTAGCTGGGTGGTCACCAACCTAGGCTGTATCTGGTGAAGGGGCAGTTACTCCTTTGTGTTAGCGGGTTGATGTTACAATAAAAAGTGTTGCCTCTAAAGAGCAACGTCTGCGACTCAGTTTGACCCACTACAGTAGTATCAACGGACTATAGTAGTAACTACCGACTCTATAGTAGTAACTGCACATATTGGGGTGGGGGGGAGAAGAGGACATCACACTGTGAAGAATTTACCTCAGTGTTGTGTTTTTTTTGCATTTTGAACGCGAATAAGAATTTCTCACCACCTCCCCCCACTGAGTCAGCGTTCTCGCGCATGCGCAGATGCGTGATTTGGCGCCGCGCTCTGCGTATAAAAGGAATAAATTGTTAATTCAACTACTTTTAACTTGACGGATGGGAAATACGAATAGCGCTTTTTTGTCCCAGGGCATATAGCGTGGTATCTGGGTACTTTTTCGATACGTAATCCCCACAGTTTGTCAGTTAAAATCGTCACAAGGTACTCACGCAGACAGACACACAGACAAAAAATGACTTTTATAGGTAAGATGTCTCTATATTTTGATTTAAAGCTTTCGTGACTGCAGGGATTCATATTCTTGGTTCTTTTGGTAAAGAACCAATAATATTGTCTGTATATGTGTCATTGTGTGCTTCCTACCTGCCCTCTTGATTGCATGATGCATTTAGAGAGGATCAATTTGTATGCATATCTCGTTTTCTTTTTAGTTTTTGACCTGACACCCTGACACCCTTATAAGTGAGACCTTCCAACTCTGCACGTTATCCTGGTTAAATATTTAAATAGCACAGAAGAGTGCATCCGAGGGAATGTATTCCCAGTATCACACAGCAGATAAGTACATAAGCAAGTTGTGTCCCGTCATGTGCAGCTCCATTAAAATGTGAACGGTGTTCTAATCAGGTGTGTATTTATTCCCACAAGCCCTCCAGGCTTATCCTGAATTCCAGATTCCTCAAGTCTGGCTTTGAAAAGTGGTTGTTTTATTGAGTGAAAATAAATAAATGAGTCTACCTGGTGCATAAAGACATCTCAGCGGGGTAAGAAACAGCCTGGGATCCTCCAAAACATGTGGTGTTTTCCACATGCGTTGGAGCAGGATGTCTGGAGATAATCTATGTGAACGAGGGGATAAACACTTCCTCCTAAGATGTTCTCTCACGTCAAAACACTAACGTGAGATGAAGACACCTTTTTTGTAGTCTGCAAAGTTCGTGAAGATACAAGGAAATTTGCACTGGATGCCAGCCTGAATGCGCAGCGAGGACCCTTGACTTTGTGAATATCGCATGTAGCGCCGCGTTTCTTCAGAGCGGTGCTCGCCCCGAATGTAGAGCGGGAGGGGGTGCGTGTGGCATGTGGCGTGCAGGCTCAGCAGTGCAGCGTTGGACAAAATCCAGGAGTACTTTGAGGAGGATGTGAAGCTGCTAGATCCGCTGTTCCCCATGACGTGCCACCGAGTGGGTGACGGCTGTGAATGCAGCGTGCAGTTCGAGTACGAGCCAGCCGACGACCCCCCGGCAGGTGAGCGCCCCTCTGCCACTTGCATGCACCTAGAAGACTAATTTCTCTGGACGTAACGAAGGATTGGGGAGACTACGGAGGAGATGCAAAATAACCGTAAGTAGCATCATTGTTGTCGCGGAGAATTAAACTAAACACAAACTAAACAATTTTTATTTTACTAGGTAAGGTCCTCTGAGCTGTATAGGTCTTTTTTAGAAGCGACCTGGCCACAAATGATAGCTGATTTAAGTGGCTTGTCATGTGGAGGGAAAAACCGGAGGACCCAGAGAAAAATCCACACGACCATGGAGAGAGATAGAGACACACGCAAACTCCAAATACACGGCCCAGCGGTAGTGTGTTCGCCACGCTTGTTGCAGAGGTTCGCAATTCGAGCCCTACAACTGACCCGGTAAATACTACTGTCTAATAACCATTAAAATACTGTGTACTGTTTGCGTCACAGTGGACGTTAAAGGTCTCGTGCTGTCATTAGAAAGATTGGGCGTCTTGGTTAAAATTTTCCAAATTATACATTTCCGAAAATTGCTCATTTGGGATTACATATGGCAATCATCGTCCCCAACTGGCAGACCAATGCCCACTTGCAGGCCAGTGTTGAGTCACATTTTATGGCACAGGTGTAATGAGTTCTCAGCGAGACAGACAACGTAGTTGAGGCACACTCGTTTATTTAACCAAAGGCGGTAATAACACTTGAAGGTGTAACGGCCCCTTCACCCGTACTCAATGGGAAACACCCCTAGCACTATTCCCTGACTCTCCTATTCCCAGTCCTCCACTATGAGTGCTAGGGGAGGGTATCTGATCCAGCCCTGGTCAAGCACGGATCCCGGCACCCAGCCAACCAGACCGTGCTCTTACAAGAGCAGCGGTCCTGGAGCTCTTGGGGCCACGCCACTGGCTTGCCCTGCTCGGCCCTGACAAGGACAGCGAGCCAGGGGAGTTCCAGGGCCTATTCTGCCGGTCTTCCATCTTCACTGGTAAAGCTTCAAGCACTGGCCTCGAGCCCTTTGGCTGCCCGCCTTTTATAGGAATCCTCTCTGAGGGGTGGGGCTATGGGGGATCACAGCGCCACCCATGGCCCCCCAGGGTTAACCGATGCGGACGTGGGTGTAGACACCCGTGTGTGGGTGCAGACACCCTTGTGTTTCTGTCTACCTTTCTCCCCGTAACAACCCCTACATCACCGCCCCCCCCCCCCTGTACAACCTGCAGCCGTCCAGGCTGCAAAAAAAAAAAAGCCAACAACAATACAGATGTAACGCAGTCAACATGTGTGTGCCTCGTAACAATAACAAGGGTAGCAAAAACAACCGACGGTCCCCTATAAATACCCCAACCCCAACATGCAAAAAAACATATATACAAAGTGTGACTTCCCACCCCCTCCCAAAAGGTGAGTGACCCCCACGGCAGCGGAACACGCGCGGGAAGCAACTCGCAACAACCGGCACGTCTTGGCGCGTGTCCGTGCAGCGGGCCCCGTCACAAGGGTCCGACCCGGTCGGGCCGGCGGTGAGTGTTAACATTTCAGGTGCACGGCCGCCCGGCTTCTTGGACGAGCCTGCGTTGACCCCCTTGGGGAAGGCTGGCGGCAGAGAGGGCGTCAGTCTCTGGACCCCTGAAGGCGGAACAGTTAGCAGCGGATCAGAGGCTGGCGGTGAACCCGCCCTCCAGGAGTCAGTGGACCCCCCACATGTTCGGCCATAGTTGTGAGGAGAGGAAGCATGTGGCACAAAGAACGGCTTCAACCGTGAAGGGTAGACGAACCACCAACGCTTCCCCCACTTAATGCGAACACATTGGGGCCGCACAACCCGCACAATATCCACGGGGCCCCTCCATGGTCCCCTGCGCGATGCCTTGGCGCCAGGAGGGAAGTATCCTCCATTTGGAGGCGCCCCCACTCCGCACCCGACAACCCCAGTAGGGAATCCTTCCCTCCCATTTCAATAGGGCCAACGCTCGAAGGCGCCTCAGCAGCGGCAGCAAGGACTAGATCATGGCTGTCGCTCGTAGATTTGCAGCGCCCCGAGCCCAAGCGACAAGTGCAATCCGAAGTAGCCGGCAGGCGCGACAGAGCATCGGCATTAGTGTGTTGAATCCCCTTGCGATATGTTGTTTCAAAATCGAAATCCTGAATGATCTCCAGCCATCAGGACAATTGCCCCGATGGCTGTTCAACACGCAAGGCATACTGCAATGCCGCATGATCTGTACGGACGGTGAAATGCCGACCGTACAGATATGGCCGGTACTTCATGGGACCTCCTTTGCCATTACCAAAATATACTAATATGGTTTTCCCCCTTTTTTTCTGGCAACAAAACGGACACCTTTTGCAAGGAATCATGCTTACATTAACCACAATACTTGCAGTCAAATGCAAACGCAAAAGCAATACTCTGATTATTTATGCATTGTCCTTGAAACGGATTGGTCCACGCCAGAGACAGCTTTCTTTAGAGCCTAGTCTCATATGGTGTTCGACCAGATGACGCCAAAAGGCGCACAGTTCAAAGACAACACACTATCAGAGTAATGAGAGCTCGGGGTGAGCAGCTACATCATGGGACCTGCTTTGCCAGTACTAAAATATACTAATAGGGTTTTTTTTTTTGCATTTGACTGCAAGTTTTGTGGTTAATGTATGCATGATTCCTTGCAAAAGGTGTCAGTTTTGTTGCCGAAAAGAGGGGAAAAACCCTATTAGTATGGCCGGTACTGTTGAATAAAGAACACAATAGCCAACAGTTCACGGCAGGTGACGCAGTATCTTTGCTCGGCAGGAGACAATACTCTACTGCCGTAAGCCACTACACGCTCCACGCCTCCAACAACTTGGGAAAGCACGCCCCCAATGCCTGTATTGCTCGCGTCCGTGTCGAGCAAGAAAGGTTTAGAAAAATCGAGGTCACTCAACGGCGGGGCCCCCATCAAGGCGTTCCGAAGAGAGTTAAAGGCGGCCTCCTCTTCCGGCCCCCAATGAAAATTCACCCCCTTTGCCGTTAGGGCATGTAACGGCTTAGCGATGGAAGCGAAATCTGCGACAAACCGCCGGTAATACAACGCAAAACCGATGAAACTCCTAACCTCCCACACCAAGGTGGGAGTCGGCCAGGAGCTGACACAATGCGTTTTGGCGGGATCGGTTGAGATACCTGACCGTCCGACGATGTGACCCAAATATCTCACATATTCGCGGAGCAAATGGCACTTGTGGTTTAAACTTCAAATTAGCGGCGCGCATTTTGAGAAAGACGGCCCGAAACCTATCAAGATGTTCCTCGAATGTCCTACTAAATACGATCCCGTCGTGTAGGTAAATCAAACAGACGTCCCATTGCAAGCCAGTGAGAACCAATTCCATTAGGCGCTGGAACGTTGCAGGAGCTGAGTGGCGCACCATAGGCAAACGATTAAATTGGAAGAGGCCGTGCTGCGTTCGAAAAGCCGTTTTCGGCTTCGATTCGTCATCAAAAGGGAGTTGCCAAAACCCTGACAGCAAATCCAAGGTGGAGAAGAATCGTGATCCAGCCAGGACGTCCAGAAATTCGGTCATTCGAGGAAGCGGGTAAGCATCGGCCACCGAGATTTATTTAAGCGCCGAAAATCAACACAGAACCTTAAGGACCCATCGTGCTTTTTGACTAACACTATGGGTGCACCCCAAGGGCTGGTCGAGGGACGAAATAATGTCAGCAGCCAGCATGTCATCTACAACCGATTTGACATGATCCTTTTCGGCAGGACTTAACCGAAAAATATTTTGGCGGATAGGAGCATTGTCACCGGTGTCAATATGGTGGCGCAGCAAATTTGTACATCCGATATATTTGTTCTTACTAAAGACGTCCGAAAATTCTCGCAAAAGGGTACGCAATTTAGCACGTTGCGAGTCAGATAGGTCAGGTGTCTCAGCACAAAGCGCCTCCAGCCAACCCTCGTCATGGTCTGACTGCTGTTGCGGCTGAGAAGCAGTGGCCAACTGGCTAATGATCGGCATTTCCGCAGGTACCAGAGTTGCGTGTGCGAACACGGTTCCCTGGGAAACCACAGCCGTCCGTGTCCCGACATTGAGGACCGCGATGAACGGGTCCTCATCCCCCTTCACAATTGTCTGGGCCGCCACCAAATCTGGCCCATTCACCCCATTCACCCCGGCCCTAGACAGTCCCAGCAAAATGCCCTGGTCCAAAAGCCCCTTAGAAACGGGTCAACGCAACCACAGGGGCACGAGCATCTGTGTCCCTGGGGGTACGCGCACCGTTTGAGCAACGAGCGTTTGGCCAAAAAGTCTGTCCCCAACAGGCACGGAACTGCCAGAGAGGAGGAGACCAACACCGGCCCAGATAATTTAATATCCCCGATAGAAATTTGTGCTCGAGTTTGGCCGATGATACCCAACGAGCCCCCGTTTGCAGCGTAACACGGGATGTCGACAGGGAGCAACGGGCGACTCTGAACGGGCAGGATATTATAGATAAAATTGGAAACAATCATTGCCGATGCTCCTGTGTCGATCAATATCCGTACCGCCACCCCATCGATGTGCCCCGTGACAACGGACGACCCCGCCGACGCAGCCACAAGATGGTGAGCCAACTCGGACCATTGGCCCGGTTGGAGCGCCCTCCCCATCTAGCCGCGACCCGACGCACCAGCACCCGAACCCCGAAAATCGCGTGTCTGGGTATGTGAGAGAGAAGTGGGTGTGCATGCAGGCCGAACATGTGGGGTGTCACGACTTGCCGGAGGTTGTTGTGGAGGCTTTGGAAGAGGGACGTCCTCGGCCCGAGTTCTCGCCCCACGCTGTCGGGGAGC